CCCCCCCGCCCCATAAACACCCCCCTCCATACACACACAACCCCCCCCCGCTCCCTCCCTCCGGCGGCACCTGCCCGTCGGGAGCACCCCCGCACCCGGGGACACCCCCGCACCCGGGGACAGCCCAGTCCCGGGAGCACCCCCGCACCCGGGGACAGCCCGGTCCCGGCCGCCGGTACGAGGGGTTTCACCCCGGAGGGTCCCTGGTTCCCCGGCCGTGCCTCGACCCACCGGTAATGGGTTACAAACATCGGATCTTTTCCCCCTCCCAAGGGCAGGGGGGAAAAAGCGTGCATATTATTTTAATCATTTTAATCCCTCCCCAGTAACACCTCTGCAGAAATGTTATTAGTCATTTATCAGCCCGAAGGCTCTGTCGGATGATAGGAAATGGGAGAGTGGGGTATGGCCCAGCCACCGACACAGAGTCATCTTCTCCGCAGAGTCATCCCTCGGGCAAAGCCCCAGCCTGGCTCCAACCAAAAAACCCGCTTTTACTAAAATACATCAATCTTGGGCTCCCCCCTTCCAACCACAGGCAGTGCCGGGATCAAGGCTCTACCCGCTGCTGTAATGACACAGGGTTAAGGACTGGCGTTGCTGCACGACGACACACTGTGACAAAAAGGTTTTACCTGCACATATTTTGGGAGAATATTTCAGATGACTGGCGGAGCAGAAATTGTGCTGCCCCTACCAACTAAGAAACACTGAAAACGTTCCTTCCAGGCCTTCTTGCTTCTTTTTGTAACGTGCTGTATCTATTAGAGAGGGTCAAGTCAAAGACAATTTCAATACTTGCTCCTGCTCTGGCTCTGTGTGCCGTGCACCCTCCCCCCGACACACACACACCCACACACACACCGAGGAAAGCAGAAACATCCTGACTTCTTTGAAAAATTAATCCTAATTCAGGGGAAAGATTAATTTTGGAGGGGGTTAGGTTCTCCTCCCCTCTGCACCTGGCGTAGTCATTTACAAGTATGTAGCCTTGTAAATGGGTACAAAATACTACTACCAGTGACTGGAAAATTTTAAGTTATTTGCCTTTATCACGTACTTTGTATTTTGCAGATGGAGAGCACTAACCAGGTGCAGGGCAGTGGGGAATTGGGCCACATTTTGGTTGCACAGTTACTTATCAGTAACATAACACCAAATGCACCTTCTAAAAGCAAATGGCAATCAGTACATTTGGGTTGTACAGTTACTTAGCAGTAACATAACACCAAATGCACCTTCTAAAAGTGAATGGCAATCAGTACTCATTTAGACACATCGACTTACACACACTATGTTCTGAGAAACACAAACAGCAGAGCTTTGTATCCTTTCCCCCAAGGAAGAAAATTCTGCAATATTAGTTTGGTTTAGGTTCAGTGAGGGCCAAGGGGTGATCAGGGCTGTGTAGCTAATTAATAGCTGACCTTCCAGCACAGGCAATGCAAGGTCTGGCAGACAGGTGAGGCAAAGGATGGAAACATGCCCTGTTATCTCTGCCTGAGATTTAAAATGAGTCTCAGGTGTCTGCTGATCATCCACAGGAAAAGGGGCTTTGTGTGAATTTCCTCCTCGTTACAGCAGCTGGGAAAGCCCTTGAGAGGCCAAGGGACAGCCACTTTCTGCTGCCTGTAATTATTTGAGGAAGTGAAAGGAGGTGACTCATGGCTCAGAGGGCAGCGAGAGCACAGCTATGACACTAATGCGTGGCCCTGGATTAGGAGGTGGATCGTCACAAGAACGTGTTACTTCGCACAGACAGTTATATCACATCACTTGTAAAAATGGATCGAGTGTGTAGTAGGCACTACTATTTCTGCATTTAATACACACAGTGTACCACTCGGCATTCAGACCCAGCATGGGGTCTTAAAACCCTGCAAAGGTTTTCTCCATTCCCTCTCTTTAAAGCCACAGTCCTTATCCCCACATCTCCTTTTTGTCCAGTTTTTTTTCTCTTTTTCTGCCATACCACTGGATTGGGCCTGGCACGACCCGGTGTGGCAGAAGCACTGTCCCCTCATCCCCCGCTGGTCCCTGCCCCACCAGAACACACTGGCACAAGGCTCAGTGTGATGCTGAGGTATTTCACTGGCTGTCCTACATGGTGATTAAACAGGATACACAGCGTGTACTCCTGTTTGTGAACAAGCACAGGCTGACTAAGGTTCAGGGACTCTCTAATTCAATAAATCAACATCAACAGTTTTCTATCTAAGCCTTACAGTGTTTCTAGAGCACTGCCGTGAGAGAGGAAGAACAGCAGCTGTGCCAAACAACAGAGTTTCAGAGTCTGGGTTTTGCAGCAGAACTGACCAAGTGCAAACAGTTATTCAGGGTCCTGTTCTCCTAATACAGAACACAGTTACTTACACACATGGAGAAATCCTACGTGTAGGTTTTTTCCCTTGGCTGGAGTCACATTCTGTGTTAGTGTAACTGCCAGCTAACAGTGATTTTGGCAATGAACTTGGCAAAACGCTGACCTTCCTGTTGCCAATGTCCGATTTATGAAATGTCTATGATTTTAGATTAAAACTGATGATTTTTTCAAAGTATCTATGCTATGTGTGTTAATGAGCACTCATACAAAAAAAAAACTCCGAGCTAATAATTTCAGCTGAGATTTATATGCTTACTGCATCTCCGAATATGATTTAAAACAACCCCCAACTTTTACGATGCCTTTTTTGGTTTTCCAGTTGCAGGAGTCGGCATGCTAAAACTGAAATCCTGATCTAACTGCTGTTCTAACTTGCATGACTATAAATCAGAAGCAGCGCTCTGGTGCACATGAACTCACAGCCAGAATATTTAATTTTTAGGAGGGTAGATTAACAAAAGCACAGGCAGAAGCCAAGAAAACAGAAAAGGGGCCATAAAGAGGAAAAGTGATGGAGCCAGGCACACACAGGATACTCTGTCCCCAAATAGTTCAGCGTCAAATAACAAAAATAGCTATAACTTCATTGCTTTAAGAGCTCGATTAACCATAGAGTTACAAAGTAGCAAGGAAACACATCTAAGAATAAAAGATTGTATCAAGTCAATATCCCTATTAGTCCAACTAAGACCCCTCTTTGGCTCATGCCTGAACCTGTCTGTTTCTCGGTAACCTGAAATTTAATCTTTTGTGAATTCAACAGCCTAAACGTAATCCTCTGTGAAATTAATATATAACCAACCCTCCATTATCAGGAAAACAGGGGTTTGAAAAAACTGAAAGAAAGCCTAGATAACACAAGTGCTTCTGGGCCAGGGTTGGCCAGTTCATCAGTGTTGTGCCCTCCTGTAAACGTCCTGCTTGGTTAAGCTGCAAAGTTCATAACCAGTTTAGGCACCACTGCGTGTGTAATGTGGCTTATTCCCAAACTGGGTAAGGCATCCAGAAATAATGGAAAATAAACTCTGTGTTTTTACTATTCCACTCACAGTGCACAGGAATTTTAATTCATGTTCATAAAGCCTGATCTAGATAGCGATCTAGCTGGTGTTGTGGTGGTTCTGAAAGTAGCGATAAAAGAGTCATTAAAATACAAAAATTATTTCACAAAGAGTAAGATGTCAGCTCTTAAATAGGATTGAAGTAACATAAGTATCCAGTTGCAGGAATAAAAGACTTCATCTAGGAAGAATGGCAACATCGTACTCCTTAACACACTGTGGAGGGAGGCAGGAAAGCACTTGCTTATTTGACTTCCAGAACTAATGAAGAAAAATACCTACAAATTCCAGAAAAAGGATGAAAAATACTCCAAGCCTGGCAGATTATGATTATTAACACTTTAGCTTTTCCCAGGCTAGGCTGAACCCTGTTTCTGGCTCTGGCTGTGGTTGCTTGTTGTTCTCTCCCATCGTTGTTTGGATAGAGAAGCTGAAGACTGAAGCAGAAATTTCTGCCTGGCTGTATGAAATCTGCCTTCTGGGTAAGTCTCTGTTCACTTCCATCAGCTTTTGCTATCAGATTCTCCTGAAAAGTATTTCAGACAGCACCACTTTTCACCTTGTTCCTTTTCGGGGATTTTCTTTTCACTGGGAAGCAGCTGGCCACGACTGGCAGGTTCTTTTGCAGTTACTCGTGCTTTGCTTTTTCCTGCACCTGCATGGGCTTCGCTGCCCATGACTGCGTGTCAGTGGGATGGTAATGTTAAGAATACTCAGGGTACGTTCAAAAAGGACCAGGTAAAATTTAGCTCAGGGCCACAGGTTGTTTTATAAGCAATGAAAAAAAATCCTGACATTTGAAAGCACCTGAAAGGGAAGGAAAACACAGTGGAGATCTAGCGCTTTATAAGCATTTGGCTACAGAGGCGATGTGTTTATGGGGAAAAACAGCATCACATGAAGAATTTGACTAAATGCATTAGGTTGGAAGCAGAATAATCACCCCACGAACAATCATAAAATGAAGCTTATGGATCATGCACTGAGAAAGACAGCCTTGCTCCAGATCTGAGAAAGGAGAAAGACAAAACTCAGGAGCTGGACAGACCACTGCAGTGATGACCGTGTGCCTGCAGGATTCAAGCAGATCAAGATGCAAAAGGGTAACCCTTGGAGACAAACTAGCAGATATTCAACCACAGATAGCTGAGACTTTCAAACGTGCCGGGGCATCCAGCTAATGAAAGGCAAAGGCTGCAGAATTCTAGTCCTGATGCAGAACAATGTGGAATAAATTAATGTTGTCCTTTTTGCATTTACTGTGAAAAGCTGTACACCCCCTCAGCACCTCGAGCTGGTGACAGTGTAATCCTCAATTCACATATTGTAAATTTAGAAAAGACTGGAATGTGCAACTGATCATACCTAGGATGTTTACACACACTGTTTGATCCCAAAATACTGGCTTATGTCATTAATGGCTTGTGTCATGCTCCTTTCTAGCTTCAGAAATGGCAAATGTTTACCATTTTAACTACATTAGCCAACTGGTTAAAGAAAAGCAAAAAGGAAGCAAAGAAAGCATAATGGCCACAGCAAAAAAAAAAGAATGTTATATGACTCTGAGGATCAACTATGCTTTAAAAAAAAAATCTTTGATGATACTTTCAGCTCTTGAGATAACCAAAACATGCATGGTAATAACCCAACTTATCTTTCCATGCTTTCATTATTACATACTTCAATTCGTATCATGGCATAACTGCTCTGTTTCCAGTCATCCTCACTTCTGGTTCTCAACCTTCATGACCCCAGGAACACAAATGAATTTACAATAATTGCTTGCTTATTTGTTTACTCCACCACTTTCTAACACAAGTAGTTATATTGGGGACTTTTCCCTCTCATCCCTAAAGTTGCGGATAATGACTAGTACTTAACTACTAGTACCAGTAGTAAAGTAGTGAATATGGCCATAATTAATAGATTTAATACAGATTTTACTTCAGTCATTTAGAACTTTTAAGCATATTAGAGTTGAAATAATATCCAGCCCTTAGAAGATTAACTTTCAAGCCTTTAAATACTAATTTTTCTTTATGTGCATGCAAGTTCTATGGATATACACATAGTTGGAGGCAAAGTCTAAACCTTAATGGTTTATCTCCCCGTGGAAAAACACTGATTTTTGCAAAACTGTGGAGTACCATTTGACAGGGATGAACAGTACTGATGCTCAAGGACAAAATAAACATAATTTAGAATGCAAAGAAGGGCCTTTTTAAATTTTATGTGAAGACAATTGATTTATAAAAGTATGCTTAAGTAGTTCAGTACCAAGCACTGAACATCTTACATGCCTATAACTGATTTTTGGCCATAGCAATTTTATCATCTGATGGAATTGGGCCCTTATTAACCAAGAAAAATATTAATTTCATCATAAAAATCCTGCCTGAATTTTGCTACGAGTCATTTGAGTATTCTGTCTTCACTTTGAGACACACTTGATTGTTGATAGTTCTTGTACACTGCTACTGATGCTGAGCATGAGCAGGGACTAAGCTGAGCATTTAAAGCATCTGGGTTTTATAAGAAGAAAGAACGGGCAGCTATCACGAAAATCCTGTATTTCCTTATGAAGTATGCTCCATATGGGTTTTGTGCTTGGCATGCTGTTTCCAACACAAAATCAGATTTATTTTATTATTAGTTTTCTGATGAAAATTTTCTCAGATCTACATCTTGGAAACACCTGGTGACCCATGGAGTCATCATACCTACGTTCTGCTTTGGTGTCCTTAGAGCCCAGCATGCAATGGGAGAAGATGAATATCACTGAAAGTAGCCAGGGGTGAGAGACCTACCCCTCTCAGGAATCACAGAATCACAGAATCTTCTAGGTTGGAAGGGACCTTAAAGATCATCTTGTCCAACTGTCAACCTAACTGACAAAAATAGACACCCACACAACAAACAAGGAGCATCATCACTAAACCATACCTCCCAGCACTACATCAACCCCTCTTTTGAACACCTCCAGGGATGGTGCCTCAACCACCTCCCTGGACAGCCCATTCCAATGGCTGATAACCCTTTCAGTGAAAAAATTTTTTCCTAATATCCAGCCTGAACCTCCCCTGGCGCAACTTGAGGCCATTTCCTCTCGTCCTGTCGCCTGTGACTTGAGAAAAGAGACCGACCCCCATCTCTCTACACCCTCCTTTCAGGTAGCTGTAGAGAGCAATAAGGTCTCCCCTCAGCCTCCTCTTCTCCAGGCTGAATAACCCCAGTTCCCTCAGCCTCTCCTCATAAGACTTATTCTCCAGACCCCTCACCATCTTTGTCCCCCTTCTCTGGACCCGCTCCAGCACCTCAATGTCTTTTTTATGGTAGAGGGCCCAAGGCAGGCTGGACTGAAATGACTGACACGCACTGACCTGGTCTATGAGCACACAGATCTATTCCTGGGCCCTCTCACTTGCAAAAGATGTTGTGCAGGAGCGAGTTTTTGACAGGCCACTTGTCCAAGGCCTGTGTGTCCTGCCCGAGGTGCCGTGACTCCGGGAAGGTGCGGAGGTGGCGCGGGGCGAAGGCCGGGGCTGCAGTGCCTCCCCACGGGCCCGGGGAGAGCTCCTTCCCCCTTCTGCGCTGACAAATGGCACAGCTGTGGTGTGACATGTCAGCACTTGCATCGCGGATCTCCAGAGACAAACCAGGAATGTTCTGCATGCCAGACAGCGGCGCTGAGCCATCGCATCGAGACAACCTTCTTGAGGGAGCCGTGGGCCCCGGGTGAAGAAGGAGAGTGGGGAATCCATTGACATTTTGACTCGCAGGCTTTAAGGCAGAAGCAGCCCACTGCAGCCAGGACAGCTCTACAGCTGAAAGAGAAGATGTCTTGCAAAAATGTGCTAAATCCATGCACCATTTGCTGCATAGACACTGCACTGATTTGAAACAGCTCGCCTGGCATTTAGATAAGGTAGGTGAGACTATATATCCCTGCAGTCTGAGGAATGCTTTCATCAACATTCGTGGTGAGCCTGAAATTATTTGGTGATGTTTACCATCATCTGGAATGCTTCCAGTGGAAAACATGATCTTGCTGACCTGGAATCTAACTCAGATCCTGTGACCTATATATTCGGAGTGAGAGTCAATAAATTCACGTTGGTATTTAATGCAGAGAAGCAAAGAACTCTGGAGTCACCTGAAATGACCTGCTCACCTGTTGAGGTCATCTTCTAAAATTAGCCTTTTGGCTCAGAACCTACAGTTCTTGCTTGTTTCACTGAACTACCACAGCTGCTACAGAAAAAAAAAAAAAAAAGGGAAAAGCTAAATGAGCTTTTAAAGTAATGTTCCTACTGGGAATCTGAAGAATCTCCATTGGATTCTAGAAACAGATTTTGTAAATAATTACCACAGGGACAGACAAATGACAAGGCAGCCTTGAGAGACAGACAACTATGGAGGGGAAAAAAAAAAACACTATTGTAACCATGGAGGAAAAAAATAACCATTATTACCTGTGACAACAGATGAGTCTATTGAAACATATGACATCTAGAACAGGGAAATAATGAGAAAAATAAAAAAAAAACTTTTACTTGAACTCTGGAGGGCTTCTCCTTTGCTACTTCCCGCTTTAGGAGTAAGTTAATGTCTTTCTTTACCAGCATCTTGTGAGAAAGGGCATAGGAAAGGCACAGCAAGGACAAATATTGGGATAAACAGAAACACAAATTGAAGAGCAATAACTCATGGTCACAGGTAACACAACAAAAGCTTCACTGTCTCAGAAAATATTCTTAAAAGAAAACTAGTGACACAGTGTAGATGACTCTACAAGAAGATGGATGCCCAGCTTTTTTGGGAGACTTCACTCACAGCTGGTATGAATAGTTTGCTGTCAAACTGGATTTGGGAATCTGTAAGGATTAAGTCTTTTTCCTGTATTGTTACTCGACAGTCTGGGCAACAGCACTGATCACACATCTGAAATCTGTATGTGGTAAGGTGCTGCAGGCAAAATGGAGCAGGGAAAGAGTTTTCGGAATGATTTGGAGAGATCAGAGAAACTATCTGAAAAACCACAGGATTCAGCTGAGCAGGGACAGGTGCTAAGTCCTGTACTTAGGAAGGGAAAATATCACCTGGGAAAGGGAGAGATGGGGAATGACCAGACGGATAACAGTTGTTCTGAATAGGACTTGGGGAGTATTACAGAGGATCAGAGCTGAACATGAGTCAACAATATCGTGCTGTTGCAAAGAAGGCATCCATCAACCTGAGCTGTACAAACAGGATTTTTCTCTGACACTAATTCCCTTATTTTTCTTGGTGGTGATAAGGCCTCAGCAAGAACACCACATCCAGCCTGGCAGTTGCACTTTAAGTAGGAGGTGAATTGAGCAATTCAGAAGAAAGGGTAGGACTAATCAAAAGCCCACAAAAGGAGAGCCACAAAGATAGGATGATGGAAAGGGTATTTTTCAGTCTAGAAAGGAATGGAATAAATTGATTTTTGATACGCAGGTTGCAGAAGATGGAAAAAAGGAGACTTAAATTACAGCAACAGAAGTTCAAATTAAACTTCCTCATGGCAAATGAGAGAGTATGCCAAATTTTGATACCTCTGACACTAGCAGTTTTAAAAATAGCTTGCACAAAACATCTGTCAGGAATGATTTAAACATGATCCACCTTTGGGGCAGGAGGAGGGATTAGATCACTCCTAGGTGTCACATTTTGCATAATTACAGGAGCGAGCAGACTCTGGGGTTGCAATGAAATGCACAAAATCCCTTGGAAAGCAAAAAATACAAAAGTTGATATAACTCGTGTAGTTTGCAGGCTCCAGCAATTCTTCACAGCCATTACTAGTCCACGGTTCAGGAGATTTAAGATGGCCAACAGTTTATGTTAATAAACAGCAAGACCACACACCTGAAGAGGGTCTTGAAGGTGGTGAATAGATACAGTCAAAGTAGGGAAGAAGAAAAGGCCATTTTATTAAGGAGAGAGACAGATGCAGAGATCACATAAACATTTTAAATACTTTTATTCCTACCTAGTGAGAAGGTAAACCATGGACTACCTCTAAGAAATGCATCCCTCTCCCAGACACAGAAGCCGTTGCAGACACAGGCCCTTAACAGACAGCAAGATTTCACACATGGAATATGTCTTGAATTCAGCTCCATCCAGGAAGCCCTAAACCAGACCCTAAAGAAAGCTTAGTTTAACTGACATTTGTTTAAGTCCAAATTATTAAATATTTTAACTAATATCAGTATCTGTTTAAGCAATAGCCCTGAAGTAGCCATGTCTCCACATACAAAATATAAAATAAATACTGTCATATCATGCACTTGAAAAGAATCCTGGGTGAACAGAGTTAGATGCTTTAATCCACTCATAAAGTCAGCTTCTTTTTCCTCTACTGTTAAAAAAAGATGCGTGATGAGAATGTAGCCAGTAATCCCGGGGTGAAAGAAGTGGCATAAAACCCACCCATCAGTCACAGTCCACAGAGCTTTTACTCGGACTGCCCTTGGCTGTGATAACACATCATTACTAATCTCCCAAACATTACGCACATACAATCTGGAACGCAAGAACTACCATACAGTCCATAAACAGAGCGAAGCAAAGCCATTGGATCAGTTCATCTCAGGATTCAAGGAAAAACAAACACACCCTTCAGTCAGAGAAAGCCCTTACCTGAAACCACTTATGAAATTCTGATTTCTAGAAATGTTCAGTTATAAAACTGAGAAAACTCACATTAGTCTCCTTGAACCAAACAACACACAATCCATTTTAGGCACTGAAAGCTCCCTTTAGTAGTTTACAAGGAAATTAACTAGGTTGTAGTTACAATATACAAACTTTTCTTTTTTTTTTTCTTTTCTCTTGAGCACCTGCAGGATGAAAAGCTATAAAAAAGAAAAAGCAACTTTTAAAATTGTACCTTTCCTCTTCTTTTTTTCCCCTTTCCACTCTTTTTTTTTTTTGTTGAGACATTTCACATTTTTTCTAGGAAGCAGATTAATTGTCAAAAAAATGCAGCCTCAGGCAAACTTATCAATCAGCTCATGTTGAACTCAGCCAATGAGAAAGGTAACACTCCTGAAAGAATGATATTTTTCATTTTTCTCACAGCCACAGTCGTGACCTTACCCCTCTCAGTTTCCAAAGAGATACTAAAACTTCAAGCAGCATCACAGACATTACAAGTGAGGTCAAGAGAAGCAAGGAGACTTCCCAGGACCCCTGTGATACCAACAAAAGCCCAGCGATAAGGGCAGACAGAGGGAAGGTAACACAGACCCTGAAGGAAAAATGTAAACTTGAACAGTTCAAGTTTGTTAAAATTTTAAGTAACCAAAAAAAGGTTCTTAGTAAAGAGAAATGTCAGGGAAGTTCAAATTCCTCTGCCCTTTCAGAGCATTAATTTGAACTGCGGGTTCCTGTCCCTCCAAAGACACTGAACCACGCAGCCCTCTTCGGTACAAAAGGGTGGCAGGAGTTTGCTCAGCGTGGTTTATATCATACATCCCATCTACCTCAGCATCAAGCCAGCCACAGACCCTCCACAGAAGGCTCTAAGTGCAAAAGGCATATAGGATTTGTAGGCAGCAGGAACTAAGGCTGCTCATCTCACGCTGGCTGCAGCACACAAAGCTGCAGGCTTCTTGTATCCCAGGGAGCTGGGGATGATGTAAGGAGATACAATCACAGTCTATTTCCTGGCCCAGATACCTGAGGTTCAGTGGAGTCATCACTGGAGACATGTCAGAGTTAGGCAGTGAGCTCCCTAGAAATCCTGCTTCACTGGAACAAATCATGAGGCTCAAACTGTCTATTAAGCATTGCAGTCTGACAGCACACATTTATCCCCTCCAACTGTATTTTCCAAGAAATCTCTCCTGCTCTGTTCTTGGTGTAGGCAGGAAAAGCCAAAATCCCTAATTAACTTTGGATTGAACTTTGATTAACTTAAATATGTAGGGCTTGCAGCCATTATCACAGATGTTAGATATGTTAAAGTAAGCTGGCACCAGCCTCACTAGGTAGCCTCAGGCAACCCAGAAAAATGTCAGGAAACTTTCATCTGGCAACAAAATCCTCTCTGAAGAGGAGATACAGAAAACTTCAGAAATTGGTGATTCCCTCTCCCTGTCTTCTGTGACTAAAAGCTTGGAAAAAAGTTGCAATCTCCGTGTTGCATATCCTAAAATTCCATCTTTTTTTCCTAGTAATTCTTCTGCCTTATTAGTGCTACGTAAAAAGCTTTTTCTGAGTCATCTGAGCAATCTCCTGCTTTCTTCATACAGGACTTGGCCGAGCCACCAGCGATGTAGCTGGTAGTCACCCATACTCAGCCTGTGCTGAGCTGAGAGCTGCTAATGCTCACCCTGGCTTCCCAAACCACGACTGCTGCTGCTGGTTAAGCGAAAATGCAAAGTTTCTTCACAGCACCAAAACCACTGCTAGAGTTTAAGAGAGATTAGGGCAGCCAGAAGGACCCAGCCCAGTGATTCTGAGGTTGCAGCGCTCACCAGGAGCCTCCATCACCTCCTGGAAATGGCCCCAGTCACACAAGTTAGAGACAGCTCTGTCATTCCCCAGGCAGTGAGAACAGACCCCCCTTTTCCAGGGGAGCATCCACATAAAGGTATGGCCAGATGACAGCATGTAGTAAACAATACCATAAATTGCTTAACAGTAACATATTGCTCCACTGAGGGATCTGCTTCATTATTCCAGCTGGTGGTGAGTTTATGCTCTGAAAGCACAAGGATTTGTGGCCATTGACATTTTATCCAAGCTAGTCTGGCTACAGATGCTGTTCTTATTGTCACAAATGCCTAATCCTCATTTTTGGAATGTTTTTTAACTGTCTTGACAGCACCCTACAACTGTAAGCACCACAGGGTAAATAGAAGTTATTAGTCTTTTTCTATTCGTAACTCAAAATCCACTTCTGAAAAGCCCTGAAGCACGAGGCTGTGTGAGAGCCTACACAATCCCAGTACAGTATCTGGCCCCCGTTCTGGATATGGCCCTGAGTGACTTGCCCTGAGCCATTCAAGAAATTTGTGGTAAACCTGGGTATTGAAAGTAGCTCTCCCGAGGGCTCATCCAGAGCTTACTTAAGTCAACAGAAGTCTTTCCAATTGATTTCAATTAACTTTTGAGCAGGTTCCGAGTCTTGGGGCACTGCCCTTGCTGTGACAGCATGCTTTTTATACTGCTCATTTTATACACCTATCGGATTTCTTCCAACAATTCTTTCCAAATTAAATTGCCTTAGGGTGTAAGGGAACATTTCAGAGAGATGAGGGACTGTAAGCTATCCTATTCTCATGGAAAATCAGTGTGACTTGGAATACCTATCTCCAATTTGTGCCATTTTAAATTTTCCTCTTAATCAAGCCAGATCTGTCTGCCATGTCCTTCCCCATTTTTATCTATTTCTCTGGATCACTTTTGCTGTCTTTTCTGATGCATAATGGGAAGACGACAGGAGATCCTACCACAGCTGGACACTAGACATCACTGAGAGATTGATGCACAAGAAACCTGAATCAAAGAGTACAGTCCCAAAAAAAGGGTTTAATAAAAATGGATGAAATTGAGTATTAGTTTAGTTGAGATGTGCTCCTCCAGTTTTATCCTGATCCCAGTAGTACACACACACAAAAAAAGAGCTGGAGTGCTGCCATGACAAACTAGGCCTATAATTTTCCAGTGGCTTTAATCGGGGTCAAAACATTTAATCAGCCAATATTAATTTATTTTAGTATTCCCTGAGGAAACCCAGGGTGACTTTAACACAGAGCTCCTTCTAGCTATTTAAACAAAGAAGAAATGGAAGGACATCCGCTGTGATTTATTTTCTCTGGGTGATCAGTGGAGAAATTAGATACGCATGACACACATTCATTTAGTCCTCACTTCCCTTTGATGATTAGGGCTGAATTTTCATTCTGGTGTATGGGGATTTGTGTGTGTCACTCCAAACAACAAGTGTCATACATCTAAGTCCAAATGTAACTTTCCAAGAGTGACGTTCAGAGGCACAAAACTTCAGTGTAAGTGGCAAAAATAGAATATTATAATTGCATGCAAACAATATTTATGTTCTAAGTCGAAGCCTGAGCCTCACAGAGGCTTGACTGAGTTTGTAGTTACCATCCTTTCCTCTGCTTTAGTAAAAAAAGCACATTAGAAAGATGTGCAGGCATCAACATAATTAAATCTATAACAATTGATTAGCGAAAACATCTGTTACTTGGTCCTTTGTACACTATTGCAAATAACCTCAATAATGAGGTGTGACCAATTGTGTTATTGCGTGAGCACTGCAGCCTCGGCAGAGCAAGGCTGAAGAGACACAACCATAGCTCATACTGATCACAGTGAAATGCTAGGTCTGTGTAGCCAAGTGATGGAATTCCATGTGTTTATAACAATAACTTTTTTATTAATATGACCTTTTTAGAGACCATGAGAATCAGACAGAACCGTGAGCAACTGCTTTTTGGAAATGGCCCCTTTACCCTTCAGGACTACCTGACACTCGTTAGAAGAAAGAAGTTCTCCAAACAAAAGCTAATGGAAGGATGAAAAAAAGGCTTTATAATGGACTATAAAGCTTTGTAATCGCTGCTGGCAAAGCCAGTGGTGATCTGAAAGGCTATTACTATGGCGTAATATTTTCCAGTTTTCATGCAGTCCCAATGTCAAGTGATACAAGCAATAAAGCGCTCTCTTCCCTTCCCCTGTAAGACTATTCCATACATCACATTGTGAGCAAGTTTTATTTTTGGACTGTGATGAACACCTCACAGGATCGGGCCAGTAGCAGGGCGCCGAGCACGTGGTAATGATACATCACATGCATTCAAAACCAACTGCCTTCTGCCACTGCAGCACCGGGTACGCTCATTGAAATGACCACAGAATTAAAAATACAGCACAATCGCACTCCTGTATAAAACCCAAAGAAATATAATCTTGACTAAATAATCACAATGCACTCAGATACTAAACATCTGGTGGATCTGTGTTAACACTATATGTGTGCCACCCCCTGGACAGGTCTCAGCAGGGGAGAGGGGATTCGGCCCCAAGGAATCAGATGAGAGCTCTCAGAACCACAAAACGGGCACAGGGAGAAGGGGGAAGACTGACCTTGAATGTGAGGAACTGTACCCAGCAGGAGACAGGCAGCTACAGCAACTGGAGCTCTGAAGCTGCCTCTGCTTCATCTGCAGATAACCATCCTTGGCCCAGCTCAGGAAAGGCTGCTAACACAGCTTCTGAAACCCCTCAGTCTTCTGCATACATATATTTCATGCGTAAGTCTGGAGAAGGGGGAAAAAAAAATATAAGTGTTTGGTATCCAAGGGTTATGTCCGGCCTTTTAAGAAAATTGAGCAATACTACTAAGCTGGAATAGCTCTGTTTCAGCTGGGAAGCTTAAAACAAACTGCTTGAGGGGAGAGAAAAACAAAGGTTTTTTTAATAGGCATTGTCATGCAGGAGCGAAACAGAGAAAACATTCTCTTCTGTTGCTCCTCAGCAGAGTTCAGATTTCCTAATTTCAGGCATTAGCGTTTCAAAAGCTTTGCACTGGAAGGAGCAGAGGACTCCTGTGCCAGCAGAAGGCCTGGGCTGCAATGCACTGAGAAAACTTAAGTCCGATAATCCTCACACAAAATTTCCATGCTGGAGCATTTAATATTGTAATTTCCAGCACACATGGATAAACCCCTGCTGGAAGGATAACATAAAACAAATGCATTCCCACTGGACAGGCTGGTTCAGCTCTGATTCCACATAACAGATTGCATGAGACACTTGGGGAAGCTGTTTTTTCAGCATCTTCACTGAATATTCCAGAAGAATTTCAGTGGAAACTGTGATACTAACAGCATCCTATGCACAAAGGCAAGGGGTGGCCAGGCCTACAACTTCATGACAAACACACTGTCCAGCTGGAAGTCTTCCCCCAGGCTGTTCTCAACCCATATTTGCCCTCCCAGACAGTTATCCTGAGATCCAGGCAGCAGGTGAGTGAGCTTTTCCTCTCTCACCATCCCAGCTGAAGGACTGCAAGACAGGACTTTTGCTGCTACAAACGGGACTCCTTTAAACAAATAATAAATGACTAGTCTTAAAATTGTTTTGAATCATCCATGGTAAGATTTTTTCATTAGGGCACAGCTCCTGCTGCTGTTATAAGAAGGTCAATTTTGGTGGAAAAAACGATAAAACAAACAGATCACTGAAGTCCCCAAACCATCAGCCATGTCAGACATACTCCAACAGGGATCCCACCAATGAACATGATTTATGGACCATGGATACTGGTAAAGTCTTACTATAGAGAACTCAACCCTCATGAGGTTTTTTGGCTTTAAAAGTATTTTTTAAGGAGATGGTCTTTTAGGTCATAGAACACATGTGAAGATTTGGAAACAATTTAGCCTTTCAGACTACTTATTGATACCTCTACACAGTTTGGGGTTTGATTTCTTACTCTCTCAGTCTGCAAAGTCTACAATTAGATGGGTAAGACGACACATTTTGTATGGATTATTACACTGATAGGGGTTGAAAGCACTTGGCCTACAGCCTCGTATCTCACCACATGCCCGAGGCCTCTGATAATCCTTCAGAAATACACTGTGCATCGAATCTTGTTGCTTCATTAGAGGCATACTTTCTCAGTCTGCTGTCCAAAAATCTTTCAAGACATCCAGTAAGTGGTAAGTCACTCAAATCACAGGTGGTGGAGGATCAATAAACCAGACTGAAGTAGACTTTATTGGCAGAACTCATGCATGTTTGCCTGCAGCTGACTTTTTATGGCAACTACCTTCCCTCTTTGGTGTTCCTTTCATAAAAACCTATCACCCAGGTCAAAGTATAGAAATTACAGAAGGTTTGAGCTTCTCATGGAGCATTTAGACACTTCCATAATGTTTACTGTGAGGTCCTTCACCTCATGATTTCTTTCCTCATCCTGTGGAAAGCATTTCTTTTACCTTCTTAGATATTTTTAAGTAACAGCTAAATATTGCCATACTATCTTTCCAGAGATCAATACCAACAGTAGATCAAATCTGAAAAGGGTATGTAATTGATATGATGAATATAATAAAAATTGTTATTCAGGTTCTCACACCAGTATGGACTTAATCTGGAAAGCTACAGCTAAGTATCCTGGAGAATTTAACTCAAAATTGACTGCTATAAAACATTTCAAGTTCTACAAAAGCCACCTATCACCACTTTTACACACCAATCTGACTGAAAGATGAGAGAAGCTGAGGGATCAGCTCATGCAGCAGAGTGAACCCACCATTACGAAGGTCTTTGGAAACGGGTACGTTTCAGTGATCTCTCACCCAACTTGCAGTTAGGTCTCATTTCTGAACAAGCACCTGAAGAATTGTCTTTCCCACTTCCATTCTCAAAAAGGTTTGTATTTTTCCTAAATCCTAAGTTTGCACAGAGCAAACTCAAACTGAATAGAGGTATTTTCTAGGTCTTATTAAAAAAAAAAAGCATTAACAACAGGCATTTTTCCAACTCTTTGTTAGGACAGGATTGGTTTTTTCATATTTTATCTGAATGGTTTCTAAGTAAAATTATTTATTTTAATTTGTTGTAAAAGTACTACTATTAAAAGCAAAAATCCCAAACTCCTGCACTTTTGAGCCCTTAACACATGGAGTATGGACAGAATTTATTGATTGTGTATCCCAGAAAGTTCAACTTACATCTCTACCACAGTCCACAGCTTCAGCTTTTCCTACCCCTTATCCAGGCATAATGCCGCTCTCTTTTGCAGTAAAGTGACAGGAAAGCAGCTGTTAGCATTTTCAACCACATGTGACCATTTCCAATAAATTTCAAAATTAAATAAGCCTCTTTCGAGTGATTCTTTGATGTCATCTAATTTTCTGCCAGTTGGTAAAGTCAGAGAGACAGAAGTCTCAAAGTAATCTGAATTTTATGGTTCCAAACGTTTCTTCCCTACAAGGAGCAAACCATTTTGCGCTTCGGTCTTTGAGGGATTATTAAGACAGAGGAACTATTATAACAACAATGAAGGGAATGTTTGATTTTCATATCAACTCATAAGCCCATCTCTGTTCTTGAAACCGAGACCACTTATCCTGTGGCATACGCTTAGAACTGCTCAAAAGTTGACCAATCTCAAAGGCTCATTAACACTTCAAGACTAATAAAAACATCAGGAAAACAGTCTCATGAAAACTTTTTATTAGTCACCCCACCACCAACACACCCTTTTCCTCACACTGAGCTTAGAGGCAGCCTATTCATTGTCTCTTCCTCTAGGTCACTCCATAATAAGAAGCCTCAGTAATGTCACAAAGAGAGAGGCTTAAAGGTTATTGAAGCTAAATTTAAAAGGTGTGTTGACGCAGTGCTTAGGGTCATGGTTTAGTGATGGACTCAGCTGTGTTAGGGTTACAGGTGGACTCAATGATCTTAAAGATCCTTCGCAACATAAATGATTCTATGACTCTGAACCCCATCAGGAAAAACTGAGGCAATATCTGTGCTGCCTCCAATGGGAGGACCAAGGCCATGGCAGATCTATTCATTCTCATTGCTGTGGTCCTGAAAGTGCCTGTGAACATACACTCTGGACCACGTGTGAAGAGGAGCACAGCACCCAAATTAGTGCAGCCCCTTTGTGTGCCAAGGTGGGCAAGCACGGGGACTCCCTTACCTGTAACCGCTCCAACACCGAGCTTTTGGTGCAGCATAAGGCAGGGCCTCATCTCAGAGCAGCAATCTCATCTGTCAATAGACAGCCACAGCTGAGTCTCATCAGGCTCTGGTCTTTGAAAGAGGCTGGACTCTTCTCAAGGGGTGAGAGAAGCTATCTGTATCTGCTGTTATCATCCTTCAGCATCAGCCTCTTCAGCTGCTTCACCTCCAGACAGCACTGCTTGGACCCATGAGACAAACCTCTGAACACTGCAGCCTAAACAGGTGTGAAAACATATACTTGAAATTAGCCAAGTGAAAAAAAACAAAGAGCTGAAAAATAACAACCCCTCGGAGTTGTTTGGCTAAATAATATTGTGCATAGAATTTGCATAGCACCACTGGTAATTTTTCCTTGTCAGAGGTAATCCTGATCAAAGGAGAGTTTCTCTTTTCCAGGCATCCTGCATCTGCTCTGTTGTCAGATGTTGGGTTTTGATTACTTCCCACGTGTAGGAATATCCCCTTCTTCCTCATTGCTGGTCAACACCATTAAATCTCATTCCATCATTCCCTCTGCTAGATCAGTATCACCTCTTCCAAAGACATTAATGCAAGTCTCATGATGCTCTGTGCCATCTTTTAGCTCTACGTCTCATATCAGTGCATGGGAATTTCAGGTTTCAGTTAAAAAGAAACTCCTGGCCTTCCTGGGTACACACAACTGCTTTGAAGCCTGGTTTGCATGCGCCTTTGAAGGCAGAAAGGGAAGCATCAAACAAAAAGAACCTAGTGCCTTCTATTTAAAAATAAACAAAGCCCCATGATTTCCATACAGTCTCACTTTTATTTTTTTATACTTGACTCATCATTTTATAACATCACTGGCAATACTGCAAAAGTTCCTTCCCTGTGGAGCTGCACAGGCGCTCGTATATCCCTACGATGGCTGCCAACAGCAGTAAATAAGCCTTCCAGTCTGACACTCATGCTGAAGTTGCCACTGTTTACAGAAAAGCTTCCCAAAGATTCCCCA